ATCAAAGTTTTTTAGCAGTAAATGATGGAAACGCTTTCAGAAACGGGACAAAACCGTGTTTCAGTTTTTATGCAAATAAAAACATTTTTACTTCTTTTCCCTTAAAAACTTCATGATTTTTGATGCCCTTGAAGTTTTTCTTTGTTTCCTGTTAAGTTGTCAGAAATTCACTCTAAACAAGCAAAAGTATTGAAGTTATAAAAACCAGAGTTCTGGCTTTAAACTTTCTGATTGGCTGTGGCAGAATGAACGTCTTCGGTCGGACCGTGCGGCGCTAGCTCTGCGCGGCCGGAGCGCCGCCGTCCTCCAGGATAATCTCCACCTCCGGACTGCGACCCTTCCTGTGAGTCTTCATGTGTCGGACAGGTGAGTGCTGCTTTTGAAGCGCTTGCTGCAGGCCTGGCAGGAGTAGGGCCGCTCGCCGGTGTGCGTCCTCATGTGGCGCACCAGGTTGCTACCGTGGCTGAAGCACTTGCTGCACATAGTGCAGGAGTACAGCTTCTCCCGGGTGTGGGTGGTCATGTGGACGCTCAGGTGGCTGCTGCTATTGAAACACTTCCCACACGTGGCGCAGGAGTACGGGCGCTCCCGGTGTGGCTGCGGGTGTGGCGCAGCAGCGTGGTGCTGTGGCTGAAGCAGCGGCCGCATGTCGTGCACTGGTACGACTTCTCTCCAGTGTGGATTCTCATGTGGGAAATCAGGCTGCTGTTGTAGCTAAAGCATTTCCCGCAGGTCTTGCACACAAATGGCTTCTCACCCGTGTGGATCTTCATGTGAGCCGACAAGCTGCTGCTGTACCGCAGGATTTTCCCACAAATATGGCAGGAAAAAGGTTTTTCTCCGGTGTGGGTGAGCATGTGGTTTCTGAGCGCAGATGCTTCGGCGAACCTCCTCCCGCAGGTGCTGCAGGGGTGCGGCTTCTCCCCGTGTGAGTTCTTTTGTGGGAACTCAAATGGCTGTTCTGACTGAAGCTTTCCCACAAGTTTCACATGAATATGGCTTCTCCCCAGTGTGAGTTCTCATGTGGACCGACAGGTACTTGCTCTCCCGGAAAGCTTTCCTGCAGATCTTGCAGGAATACGGTTTCTCTCCCGTATGGATTCTGTAATGTTTCCGCATTTTGAAGTTGCTGCTGAAGGTTTTTCCACAGATAGAACATTTTGTGGATTTATTACCAGAGTCAGAATTGCAGACACTATCGAATGGAGGGAGATCGTCTGCTGCGTTACTTTGACTGGTCAGATTCTGGCTGGATCCAGAGTCTTTGTCCCAGTTTCCTTCCTGGTCCTGCCTCTCAGCTGCATGGGAGGCGTTCTGGTTTGGTTTCTGACACTGTGGTCAGTTTCCTCATAATCAGATGTCACTAGGAAGCTATCAACCTCCTGCTTCACCACCAGTTCATCTTCATCACGAACGCAGACGTCTTCCTGCTCCTCTTTAATCTCAGGAGCTTCCGGTTGCTCCCGGTCCAGACTGGAGTTTCCCGCCGGGCCAACGGGAATATTCGCCTCCTTCTGCAGAAAATGCTTTGGAAAATCTGGAGGACAAACAAAACGTTCAGTTCAAGTTTCAGTTTTAATGTTTTTGCTACATTTGAAAACATTTAGCTGCATAAATGTTTTCATTTAAAGCACAGATGGTGTGTAATGACAGAGCTCACCCTGTTAAGGATGATATACAATGATGATGTAATGTGAGTATCAACATGACTGAATGTAGCGCTTTAGCATTAGCTTTCAGTGAATACTGTGTTAATATAGTTCTGTAGAATTAACACATCTAATGTTTGTGGTTTGTGCTTTAGCATTAGCAGGACTAATGCTTTAGTTAGCGGTGACCACCACTGTTTGATATTTGTAAACTCGCGTAAGTATTTACATGTTTAAGGCATAATAAATAATGAAATATAGTCTTGATGTCCTAAATGAGTAAACCATCTCCATCAACGTTGTACTTCATTCCTAAATAAATACTGCTGAATTTGAAGCCTTATGAAGCAAAAGCTGTAACCACAACATGAAACTAATGTTTGTGCCCATTATAGAGTAGCTATAGAAGCTTTTAATCCTGTTTTCACTTACATAAGTGCAAACTGTCATGAAACCACCAGAGTAGTGAATATTCATGAGGCCAGATGGTCAAAGCTACACACAAAGTATCAAGGTGCAGAGAAGCATAAATGCAATATTCTTGTGGAACTGCCACCATTAATAATGTAATATAATGAAGCCCATCTTACATGATGGAAACCAGCAACAGGGCAAAGCGAATACAGAACAGAACCACTGGTTTCTTTATATCTGGATTGAAAACATTTTCAGGTCCATCTAGCTGATGAACTGTTTGTTTCATTTATTTATCTAATAGTTTTCAACTCTTCAAGATTTTTGTCGTTTTAAGATTTTTAGTTTGATGTACAAATCAGGCCAGAGATCCTCTCCAGATGCATCAAAATGGGGAAAACACTGAACTACCTTCATTTGACCAGCAGGTGGCAATAACTCCAAGATAACATCAAAAATGTAAAGTTCCAGTTTTGAATCCAACAAGAAATTTAGGAATTTGAAAATGATCCCAGCTTTTCTCAACATTTCTCAGATTTTTATTTAACTAAAAAATCTGCAGGCAGTTGGTTGATGTATTCAGTATCGTGGGAAATCTCAGTTTTCATGAATTTAAAGCTTCATATTTTGCAGAATTTGATCAGTAATTAGAGATAATTGATTTTAATTGTCACCTGTGTGGATTTTGTATGAGTCGTGCTTCCCGAGTTCTCCGACGTTTTTCTGTCTCTTTTACTCTCCAACAGGGGACAGTTGTCCAACAGCGTCCTGTCCCGGCTGTCCTTCAGCTCCGTGTCTCTGTCCGGCCTGGACTCATCGGTCCAGTCTCCGTCCCGATCCGGTCTCTCCTGTTGGATCCGGTCTGATTCCGGTTCGCTGAGGTTTCCATCCTGGAGCGACGGCGCCACCATCAGGACGTCAGCCTCCTGCTTCAGGACCAGCTGTCCGTCCCCCGGAGCGCTCCACACGTCCTCCTGCTCCTCTTTGATCTGTGGATGGTCCAAACTGGAGTCGTGCTGGTTCTGGAGCTGCAGCTGAGCAGGGATCTGCTTCGTCCTGACAGAACATCGAGGGAAATCTGGAAAAGGCAAGAAAACATTCAGTCTGAGGAAAGAGAAGCTGGCTCCACCCGTCCTCCACCCGTCCATCATTCAGGTGGAGACAAAGGACCAAATGGTCCAAAGTGCAGCTGCAGCTATCAATTATTTTATCATTCTATCAATTATGTTGACGATTAATCAGGTAAAGAAAATTGGCATGTTCTGCAAATTTTTCTTTTTTTTTTCAACTTTTAATAAATTTGAAATACATTAAAATATGCAAATAACTCAATTTTAAATAAGAAAATGTTCTGACTAAGAGTCAACAGCAGCAATCCTTTAGCTCGATTATTTGTAGCAAATGATGCACCTGTTGAGGTGGAGTTTCAGCTTCCAGCCTGAGCTTATGGACAGAGATATTATGGGATGTTTAGATCTTTAAGTTTCACTGAACCATTTTTACTCCTGCTGCTGAATGAAATCTGTTCAGACCAGCAAAAATAACTGGGACTGTGGACAAATAAAAAATATCGAGCGCTAAATTAAATGTGTTCATCTCATTATGAAAATCCAAAATCTTAGTTTTTTTTTTACTTTTAATTTGATGTTTTGATCCAAAGAAAGACAAGTGAGTGATTTCCACATTTTGAAAAATTAATAGAAACTGACGAAAAAAGAGCATGGCACTCACAATGTCAGTCGGTTTTAGAAATATATAAATAACAGGGCTGGGTCTTTAATGCATCATTAATAATGTGAATTTGAATGCGTTAAAAGTGTTCATCATTTTTTAAAACAGAGTTCCAAACCGGAACCCCTGTATTTGCGTGTTTCTGATACGTCAGTAAACCTGGTGCACATCTGCTAACAACATCGCAGCTGCACTTCTTGGCTCGCTGAGGCCCATTCCTGCTTGGAAGAACCATCTGATTGGCTCATGCGTCCAAGCGGTTACAGCTTTTTAGCTTTTTAGGGCTAAAGTAGCATCGAAATGCTAAACAGGGAGCAGCTAGCGCTAATGTCAGCGTCTCGGTCCACATTTCCAGCAAGTTTCTGAAACTCCAGAAAAACACTTTGCTCTAATCTGACGGTTGAATAACCTGGATGACAGATTAAAACTATATTTATTTGTCTGTTCTTTTAAGCTCCGATGTTTATTTATTCAGTAGTTTTCCTGCCTGCCACCCATCCACGGTGGGAGTTCTGTGACCGGCCCTCCTGACCTGCTCTCTGGAAGCCGCTGTCCGGCCTCCAGCCGCCGTCCAGCAGTCTGCGCTGCCGGTCCAGCTCTTCCTCGTACTGGGCGACGGTTCTCTGGAAGACCGAGAAGATTTCCTCCGCGGCGGCAGCCAGCCGCTCGCTGATGAACTCTCTGAGCTGCTGGGCTGAAGACCCGCCGGACATGTTCACGGCTAACAGCCACTGCAACACAACAAAAGGACGGCTCACTTCCGGTTCCAGAGGGGCTGTCTCGTTACCGCCCCCTGCCGGCGCCACAGGCTTACTGCAGTCCAGAGCTGTGAACACAGCGCCCTCTAGAGGCCAAAGCTCTGCTGGACAGTTTAAAAGATCTGACGTCATCACAACAAACACGAATCAGGCATAACATTATGACCTCTAATATGAGGTGAACAACACTGGTTATCGCTACCTCCAAATAGCTACAGTTTAAAAACTGGCTATCCTGAGCTACCTCTGGAGGTATGCTGCTTTCTCCTATTACTCTCCAATTTTTCAGTATTTGCTTTTATTTCAGTTTTTAACGTTAGGTTCCCTCAATTTTTTACTCTGCGTGGAAACACCTGGTCTGTTATGTGTTGTGAAAATGTCCCGTCTCTCTTTCATCCTGTAGCCTTTAAAATTGTCTGTTTCTCTCCTAAATGAAGCCACTAACTGCTCCGTTTTATCAAACTTTAATTTTTTGTCTTTTAGTTAAGAAAACAGAGAAGACATACACAAAAAACAGATCAACTGAGTCAGGACACACATTTCAACAGATCAGTTCTGCAGCATTTTATAGTTTTTTTTATTTTGTTTGCTTTGGGAAAATTGCTGCCACCAATGAACAATAAATATGGATACAATGCAAAACATTTTGCTATTGAAGCATTTTACACAATGTACAATCTTCACCAGATATTCTGTACACGTTTCCAAATAGCACTGTGGGAGGAAACCAGAATTAACACTCTTCCTGTGGATTTCCATGATAAAAACTAATAAACCACAGAGAGAAATGAAGGTTGTGCCGATATTACAGAAATAAAACGGATGTAAAAGAGTTTGCGGACGCGTGGAAACATCAGTAGTCCGTGTCGGAGCCCTCGGCGTTGTCCACGTTGCGGGAGAGCATGTAGTTGTCCATGTCGATGTCGGCAGTTGTTGATGGCGTAGCGCAGCCGCTCGGCCATGACGCCCTGGCTGGAGTACGGCGGCAGGCGCAGCTGGAAGAAGCAGGTCTGGGAGGTGGGGAGGCTGTCGTACGGCTGAGAGGAGGAGAAAGCGTCAGCAGAGGAGCGAAGCCGCGGCGAGCAAATACTGCAGCCAGCCAGCCGTCAGTCAGTCTAGCTGCTGGCGTTCTGACTAGTCATCATGAAGTCCAATTCAAAGGAATTTGAAAAATAAAATATAAAAAAGCAAAAATAATATTTTTATCAAATTTTCAATACTATCTACAATTTAAAAACTGTAATGAGGTTTTTATGATGATCTATTAAAGGCCATTGAAGATAACGGAAAGTCTTTTTGGTTTTCCAAAGTCAGAAATTTCAGTTTTTCTGGAAATTTTTGAGTTTTTTGGTAGAAATGCAGCTTTTTTGTGGCTGATAAAATATAACAGAATAATTTACTGAAATGTTCTTTGCATTCTCATCTTCCTGTCAGTCATTAATCACAGCCTTTGATTGATTAATTTGTTTCTCTCTGGTCCAACTGACGATTAATCAATGACTAAATTAGTTGACGATTATTTGACTAATCGATTGTTTCAGTTTTGTAGCATCGTCTCTGGGCCAGAAGCTAGTTCTGTTATTTTCTGAGCAGAACCGGGTCAACTACAGTGAGGAATGTTGTCTGTGTCGGTTTGGGTCGGTCCACTCACCCGGTCCACCTTCATGATCTGGAACCGCTGTGAGATGTCGGCGGTGTTGGCGGGCAGCCGGGAGCGCCCGGAGACGAAGCGCATGAAGAGGACGCGCTCCTCGTTGGAGAACTCCTCCAGCGTCTGCCAGAACCACTGGACCAGCGCGTGCTGCTCGTCCACCTCCCGATACCGGACCACCTTCTTCAGAACCTCGCAGCAGATCTCCGGCATGCCGCACACCATCTGCTCCAGCTGCCGCGCCGTCAGCAGCGACAGCAGCGGCACCGGCACGATCCAGGACATGCCTTCACGCACCGCCGCCACCTTGTGGACGGGAGGAGGACGAAGGTTAGTGTGCGGCTATGGTTCTGGTTCTGGTCCTGCCGGACTCCGTTTACCTGTCGGTCAATCTCGTGCAGCCGGTACTCGACAGCCCGCTCCACGTACTCCTTCCGGTTGGAGAAGGAGAGCGGGATGCTGGCTCCGCCGGGAATTATGGGAACCGTCTTCCCGTCCGCGCTCTGACCCACAAACGAGTCCAGAGGTATCATCTGGAACAGAACCAGCAGAACCGGGCTTAACAGAACCAACCTGACCGGGCCTGACAGACCAACAGCAGCGGCTGGAGCGCCACCAACAGGCCGGTTCTGGTGGTGCTTACGGATCGCATCAGGGAAAAGCCAGTAACAAGGAACATTCTGCCAGAGGAATACTCAGCAATAGATACAATTCTGTTAAATAAATAAATTAAAGTTTTCATTTGTACACAGATGTGCTGAATAAATCTCCTCCCGGTGGAAATGGAGCAGTGAGAGAAACGAGTCCTGCGTGTTTTTACATGATCCAGGAGTTTGACACTTTTCATTCCCCAACACACCTGGATGCAATCAACAAACTCACCGGCTAGCAGGCTAACACGCTAGCAGGGTCTCATGCTAGCAGGCTCTCACGCTAGCAGGCTAACATGCTAGCAGGGTCTCACGCTAGCAAGCTAACACGCTAGCAGGGTCTCACGCTAGCAGGCTCTCACGCTAGCAGGCTAACACGCTATCACGCTGTCACGCTAGCAGGCTAACACGCTAGTAGGCTCTCACGCTAGCAGGCTGTCACGCTAGCAGGCTAACCACGCTAGCAGGCTAACACGCTAGCAGGCTAACACGCTAGCAGGCTAACACGCTAGCAGGCTAACACGCTAGCAGGCTAACACTGTGTCCTGTTACAGACACACTGTGATTTCCCCTCTTTTTGTGCCGCCTGAGGAGCCGTCTGTCGCCAGGCTGCACTGGAGGAACAATAAAGGTGTTCTATTCTGACTCGGATCCGAACGGCCGGTCCCAGCCCATCTGGGTCCCGGTCTCCACCTCGTGGAAGCTGTTCTCTGATCAGAACCGGGTCAGAACCGGCCGACCGACCTCGTGGAAGCTGTCCTCGGTGATGCCGCTGTCCTCGATGTGCAGGATGCTCTTCAGCGTCTGGACGTAGAGCAGGTCCACCTCCTCCAGGTCCTCCAGCTGCAGCGGGATGCAGCACAGCTGTTTCCATACCAACGGCGCCAGGTGCAGGTCCAACGGCTTCTTGGTGCGCACCGCCACGCCCATCAGGATGCCCAGGAACTTGAACTGGATCATGTGCTCGTCCAGGCAGGCGGACGGGTTGAACAGGAATCTGGAGGAAAACAAAAAGATTAGAGCGACGCGTCTGCAATCCTGAGTGTCTTCTTCTGAATCAGTTTTTGCAGAAACATTATTTTCTTTTTACAGATGCGGAAACAAATCTCTGAATCTGTCGTCCAAAAACTTCACTGTGGCGGTTTTGGGAGCAATCAGCCACAAATCTTTAACATTATTGATCATGATTTGCTGTTTCATTCCAACGCGGCTCAGATTTTACTCACAAATAAAACTAAATTCACAGGATTTTTAACTAGTAAACCTGAACTGAACACAAATGGAACAAAATGTCAAATCAATTCCTCGTCAGGTGATGCTTATTACTTTCTAGTGGCTTCGTTTTTGATCATTTAATTTCAATCACTCTTACAACCATGAGGTGAGTTCACTGACGGTGGGATTTTACAGCTGCTCACCTGTCTCTGTTGTAGCCGACCTCTGCGGTGGCGTTAGGGGAGGGGATCAGCAGGTCCACCACACCTGTCTCCAGCTCCTGCAAAACATTCCCACCATCAGTCACCTGGAAACTCCTGGAAACTCCTGGAAACTCCTGGAGTCGGTGAGGGAAGCTCAGAGCTGGGAATACCTGGCACATCTCGGTGATGGTGTCATCAAACACGCCGCCCGCGTCGTCCGCCCCCTCGCCCACCAGCTTGACCTTCCAGGCGCGGGACGGCAGCCGCAGGTCGGAGGCGTTCAGCTTCACCACCTGCCGGGCGATCTGGACGAAGATCGGTTTGCACTTCCGGCCGCTGGGGAGCCGAGGGAGAGAGGAACCGGAGCGTCAGTCGGGTTCTGGATTCTAAAGTGGGTTTATGAAGTGGGTGGGTCACTGACCGGGTGGAGATCCGCTTGACGGTGATCTGTGGACCGTAGTTCTTGCCCTGAACCATGGTCTTCCCGATGGAGCGCACCATGGGCAGCGTGTAGACCCGGGGGGCCAGCAGGGGGCGCAGCTGGCCCTGAACGATGCCCCAGGTCCCGGCGTTGTAGTGGGAGGTGCAGCTCTGCAAAAAAACAGGCAGTGAGGACGGCCGGCCGGGTTCTGGAGGTTCTGCTGCGGTTCTGATCTGACCTGGTTGTTGGGGCTGAGGTTCAGCAGCCGCCACGACGAGTACATGAGGTCAGAGAAGTGGTAGAGGAGGCGGAGCCGCGCCCTCACCGCCTCCATGCTGACCTCCTTCAGCCCGCTGTACTGAGGCGGAACCGCCACCGGGAGGCCCAGCTGGAGCGGAACCGACGAGCCTGAAGGCGACGAAGACGAGGAGAAGAAGAAAAAACGGAGGCGAGTCTGCATCAAGGTCCAGGATCAGGATTCATTTAATCAGACGACAACTTTGTGGCTCTGGGTCTGACCAGAACCACATGGGATTATTTTACGGTCCAATAACTCATTACTTAATTAGGACCGAACCAGACAGGCGGTTCAAAACCGGACCTACCTGGCGCGCGGCGGCACGCAAGGCGCCGTCCAGGCGGCGCTGTGGCAGCGTCCAGCCGAGATCTGGTTGATGTTCTTGCCCTGCAGCGCCGTGAGCAGCGTGGGCTCTCTGACGTGGTTGGTGTGGCCCAGACCCAGCTGCGGGATCGGATCAACAGAGCGGGTCAGGACCGGACCTGTGGACCCGGTCGGGCCGGTCCGGTCGGGCAGCGGGTTACCTGTCCCTCCGAGTTGCTGCCCCACGCGTAGACGTCTCCGGTGGAAGACAGAACCAGCGTGTGCTCGGCGCCGACCACCACGTCCTGAATGTGGATCCCGGACAGCGCCGGAACCTGCTGGGGCCGGTTGTGGTTCCGAGCTCGGCCTTCTGGGAGTCCGATCAGCCGGTCTTTAACGGGACGCAAGAAAACATCTCAACATTAGAAACACTAAGCGATTATTATTGTTATCATCATTCAGGACGCGACACACTCAGTCCTCCATGTTGTAGCATTAGCATTTTGGCTAATTTTAAGTCATTTACATGATAAATGTTGGTCAACTTACTAGTGACATCATTTAGCTAACGTTAGCATGCAGGCCAACGGCAGCATTTTAGCTAATTATTCACATATTTATGACATGTAACAAAGACCAACGCTCTGCAGTTTGAAGCTGTTTAGGGTTTGATGCTCAAACGAAACACTTTGGGAGTTTTATTATTTGGCTCCTCTGCGTTTGGCAGTGAGGACGGCCGGGATCAGAACACGGTTCTGATCTGGTGTTTTCTTCAACACCAGATCAGAACCGCTGATCTTAGAGCAGAGAGATCAGGAACACTGAGGTCACCTTGGCCGAACGTGTAAACTTTGCCATCTTTGGTTAGAGCCACGGAGAACTGCGTCCCACAGGCCACCTTCTGGATCCCCGTCCCACAGAGGACGTCCACCTTCTGCAGAGTTAGAGACGACACCAGAGTTACAACCCAAACAGCTCAGCTCAGCTCTTCCCTCGTCAGCCCAACCCTACCTGGGGAGAAGACTTGGCCGTCGAGTTCCGAGTCCCAGTTTCCCATAGTCTCCGTCGCCGAAGGCCCAAACCATGCTTCCGTCCGCAGAGACGACCAGCGTGTGGTTCAGACCGCAGGCCACCTGAGGAGAACCGACAGCATGAGCCGCTAACGTCCTCTGTCCATCAGAACCCGGCGGCTCGGGAAGCGCTCACCTGTCCCACTTGGTAACCCTCCAGACCTTCACCTTCTCCGGAAGCTTCTTGTTGGACGTGTTTCCCAGCCCCAGTCGGCCGTAATCTCCGTTCCCGAAGGTGAAAAGCTTCCCGTCGGCCGTCACCACCGCAGAGTGTTTGAATCCACAAGACATCTGCAGGGCAGAGAGCATGAGGACAAGAGCAGAAGAACCCGCGGCCAAATGCAGCGGTTCCTGCTAACGGACCCACCTGGACCACCTCCTCTCCCTGCAGCGCTTCGATCTGCCGCGGTCGGCGCTGGCGGTCACTGTTGCCATGGCCCAGCTTGCCGTAGTCGCCGTCACCCCAGCTGAAGACCTCGCCGCTCTCCGTCAGAGCCATGGAGTGGCCGTCGCTGCCGCACGACGTCACCAGCTGGGTCACCACAAATCCTGGAGGGGAGAACCAAAGTATGGTGTACCGGATGGTTCTGGGGTCCAAACCGGCTCTGGTCACTGGGGGTCGGCTCACCTTGCAGAGCGGAGATGATGGTGAGGACGTGCAGGTCGTCGGAGTTCCCCTGTCCCAGGCGGCCGTAGCTGCCCTCTCCGCAGGCCAACACCGACCCGTTGGGCTGGATCACAAAGGTGCAGTTCTGACCACAAACCACCTGCAGAAACAACAGCTGATCAGGCTAATCAGTGGTAGCCATATGTCTGCTAATGCGCTAATAGTGGAGCTAATTTTCTGTTAAAGGCTTTTGCTAACCTTGAAAACTTTTAGCCCATTTAGCAACACCTAAAGAAATGTTCAGATAAATTCTGATTATTTTTTTCTGCCGTTTCCCTTCGTCTCCTCATGTTGTCTCATTTCTTAGCGTTAGATATTCCTGCATAGCATGTTGGTGTAGCACTTCAATATTAGCTAGGAAGCGTGTTTATAGAGCTCTTTAGCATGATACCGTTAAGTTCTATTTTGGTTTCACAGTTCGCTAAATACTGCTGCGTTGGTGTAGCAATTCAGTGGTAGCTACAGGTAAAATAGCTAGTGCTAAAATAGCACTAGCTACTTTAGCGTTAGTTTAAAGCACCGATTCTGATTAATGCTTTAGGCTTAGCATGTGAGTTAGCGGCTGCTGGTGTGACATCAGAACCTGCTGGGCCTGTGAGAAGGACGGGGCGGTGGTCGGAACCAGGATGTTCCTGCCAGCCTCGGCCAGCTGGCCGTGCCGACCGGCTCCCCACAGGAAGACGTCACACCTGCCCCCCAGGTGCCAGTCCTGGAAACAAACACACACAGGTGAGGCGAGTCGGACCCTCAGAAGACTCCGGGAGACGGGTCCGGATCTACCTCCGGCCTGGACGTGGCCCAGGACATGATCTGCTCGTCCATCTCGGCCGCCCACTTCCCGTTGTCCTGGAAACAGACGCAGCGTTAGCGTGAGCCACGGAGCCGCCGGTCAGACCGCCGCCGCCGCCGCCTCTCACCATCACCAGAGCCATTTCCTCCTTGGGCACCGGCTCCAGGTCAGGAACGCAGAAGGAGTCGGGAAATGTGGCGCCGCGGGCGAGGGCCTCGGCCGCCTTGACAGTGGTGGAGAAGCAGTCGAGCCACGCCCACTCGCTGGCGCTCCAGACGGCGGTGCCGGACTCCGGAGGACAGCGGCGGAGGTGGGGCGGAGCCGGTGGGCGGCACAGGAGCTGGTCCAGGTGGAGGCCGACCGCCAGAGACGCCAGGCACTGCATGTAGGGGCTGTGGACGAGCTGCTCGCCACAAACCACATGAGGCTGCAGGGAAACCAGAACGGCACGCTGTCAGAAAATCCACTTCCTGTTTACAGAAACCAGGGACGGAACCGGGGATTTGGGCCGACCCGGCTCGGCTTCAGAACCGCCTCAGAGGGCTGGATAATAAATCAATAACAATAAATATCAACAGATTAAACGTCTGATAGAATATTCACGGAACTCCAATCCAGAACCAGAAGGCATTCTGGGAGATGTAGGCGCAGGACCGAACGGCATTCTGGGAGATGTAGGCGGAGGAAGGCTGTGGCCACTCAGCTAGCTTAGCGACCGAGCTAAGCTAACTCGGTCGCATCAACTCACTCTCTCTCTGGTTGCGAAGCAACACCTGATAGACTTGGCAGCAGGTTGAAGCTGCAGTTTGTAACTTATTCAATATTTTTTCTCTCCATGTTGTTGCAGTTTGGTTGTTTAATATGTTCACAGATTATCTGTCTCATACTAAACTGTCAACATGATTACAGGTTGAACTAATGTGTAAAAAACATTTTAATAAAGTTACGAACTGCAGCTTTAAGGTTTTGCCTCATAGCTGCTTAAAAATTAACAGCGTGAATTAAAAGTATGGACAAAACGGTTCGACCACTAGTTTGTCAGGATTAAGAAAATAAAACAATCTCGTTGCCTGATGAGTGGTTTCCATTGTGACGCGCCTCTCAGCCTACCTTCTCGTAGGCGTACTGCTCCTGCAGCATCACCGGCAGCCGCTCCAGGAACGTCCTCATGCAGGGCGCCGCGTTGAGGCCCACCACGCCCTGCCGCTTCAGCGCCGAGCGGCAAGTCGCCAGCACGTGGTTGGACGCCATGAACTCTTTGGAGCAGTTCACGACCAGAACGTCCTGGGGACGGGACAGATGCTCAGAGAAAGGCGATGGAGACGGGGTGCAACGGAAAGAGTGCGATGGCTAACCTTTGACCTGTTGGAGCAGACGGCCACGCCCACATCTGGGATCCAGACAATGTTCTGGATGGCTCCGGATCCGGCGACGACGGTCTGCAGGACGGAGCCGTCCTGTCGGACAGGAAGCAGACAGTGAGTCCAGGAGAAGGAAGTCCGGCGGTCCAGATGTTGGCCTCTTACCTGCAGAGACCAGATGTTCATGAGGCCGCCGACTCCGCCGGAGGCCAGCGCCAGGCCGTCGGGGCTGAAGGCCAGCGTCCGGACCGGCGTGATGTGTCCCTTCAGCTGGAAGACGCACACGGCTCCGTCCTCGGCCCAACGCGGCGACTGCAACAAAACCATCCAAACGGGTCTGATTTGATCTGAGGCTGAATACGGCCAAACATCTGAATCACCACTTTCACTTTTCACTCCCTCCAGTTTAACGTGGAAATTCACACAAAATATTTTCTTTTTTTTTTTGCCCAATTGTAATTTTGGGCATATTGCAGATATTGCACCTGCAGGTGGCGATATCTCTTACTGCTTCTACATTCACAGTCACAAATATCTTGATTGCTAAAAGGATTTTTACAAAAACAATCAATAAATTCAGATTTATGCGAGATATTTTCTTCTTCTCTTCTAGATTTACTAGTTGTTTATCTGAGTTGAACAAAATAAAAGTTTCATCGAAGGAGAAATCTTTATGTTCAGCTTCGGGACCAGAGGTGAGACTTGCGTTACCAGTAGTTTGGGTTTGGCGCCGTTCTCCCACAGCGCCTCCGAGTCGCTCCGGGAGGATTCTGGGAAGTGGCAGATTTCCTGAGGAACGGTCCAGACCGACACCAGGCCGTTCTGGCAACATCTGGAAGACAAGTGGTTGGCCGTTCAGGAGGGGAACCGGAACCGTTCGGGTCGGCCGGCTGCAGCTGAGCACCTACATGGCGAGCATGCTGAGCGGTCTGGGCCCGCGGCCCGGCAGGCCGCACCACGCCACGCCGTTCACCAGGGAGGCGTGGCACAGGGTCTGCAGGCAGCGCCAGCCGGAACCCGAGTCCCGGTCCGGGGCGGCCCACAGCTTCACCGTCTCCTCCTTGGCGCAGGTCAGCAGGATCTGGCCGTTGGGGCTCCACTTCATGCTGCTGATGGATTCCTGAGGGACAGAGCGCCATGAGCGCCGGCTGGAGTAAAGGTTCCGGTCGGGTCCGGACGGCCCGGTTACCTTGTGAGCGTCAATCACGACCACAGCTCCTTTCTCCAGCGGCTCCTTGGACCCGATCAGCAGCTTTCCGTCGGCGTATCCCACGGCGAACGGCCGGTCCTCACTGTACCAGGCGATGTGCATCACGGCCACTGGGGGGCGACACGCACATGTTCACGTTGCAGGCCCTGATGTTCAGACCTATTCTGATATCTGATTGTTTTTCCACATTTCTAGATAGATGCGACTTGTTGGTGATCTCCTGGGTGAAACAACCGAAAGTTTCCTGCAGGGCCAGCAGAGGGCGCAGTAACGTCACCCCTACTGAGCATGCCCAGTGGGAGTGAACATGGAGGCTAATGGGGATGCGCATCTTGTCGAAGTGACGTGAGAATCGGTGGCAGATTCAGGTCACATGGAACAAAATCTGATAATTATCAGATTAGGAGAGTTTGGGGTTTTTAACTAGTTTAGTTTCACTTTTTTAGTTTTAATTAGGTTTTAGAGTTTGTTTGGTAGCAAAATGTTATTAATTAAATATCATTTAGTTTTCATTAGGAGTTTTAGTTGTTTTTGATCTTTTGGTAATTGTATGTACAGAACTGAAAAAGTATTTTATTGTGACTAACCCCTAACCCTAACCCTACCCAGGAGGATTATGGTTACCGACAAACTGCTGATTAATTTCACCATGTTCCAGTTAGCTTTATAAACGCACAACACAGATTCAGTTAGTTGTAAATTTTCCCCATTAATTATTGTTTATTTCAGTTTTTCAAACTTTCCACATACATCTGGCCTGCGATGCATTCATAAAATCCGATCCGTCGTTCTGACTGTCATGGAAATATCCGGTGCTCTTTGCATCGTTCCTACCGTCTTTCCTGTAGCAGTGCTCCAGCTCGCTGCGGTGCATGTCGCTGGCGTCCAGAACCTCAATGAGGCCCAGCGACCCGTCCATCCGGCCCACCAGCAGCATGTCTTTGGGCTCGCCGCACCACAGAGACTCCGCCTCCTCCTCTGGCCACGCCAGCGCCGACACCCAGTGGGGCTGCACGTCCAGCAGGCCTTTACCGCCTGCAGGAGAACCAGCCAGATCTGAACCAGCCTTCACACATGAACCTGCATCTGCATGTCTGCCCCTGCAGGATGGGAGGGGAACAGCAACAGGAAACAGGAGCTTTACCGTTAACTTGCCAGATGTTGACCATTTTCTCCATGGCTGATGCCAGATATTTTCCAGTCACGCTCCAGGCCAGAGGAGACAAGCAAGGGTCGCTGGGAGAGCCCAGAGCGGACATCCCGTCGTCCGAGGAGCCATCACTGCAGGACAGACAGACACACACAGTCATGGACCCTCCGCCTCCATGATGACTACTGAGAAAAGACTAAACAAATCGTTTCTGTAGCCCAGATTTCTGCACCGGACCAAAGATTTCACACTGCAAAAACACAAAATCTTCTCATTTCTAGTGCAAATATTTCAGTAGACGTGAAATAAGACAAAACTAACGTCCCTAACTTCTCAGCAATCAGGCAGTTTTGTTAAGGCAATGATTCTCAAGTACCGATAAAAACTACAAATCGTCTTGTTGGGAAAGTCAACATGGTGACATTTTGTGCTTTAATACTTTATTTAGTAGTGTTCACCTCTGAACCTTGAACCTATGCTAACGCTACGCTAACGCTATGCTAACGCTATGCTAACCATGGACCCTTTGCTTCCACTTGCTGCTCCGCTACGTTTATCCCCAGGAGATCCAGGGCAGCTTGGTGGGACAGAGGAACTCACTCCTTGTTGAAGACGCAGGTCTGCTGCAGCGTGTACTGGCTCTTCGTCACGTTCCACACCCGGACCGTCCCGTCGCTGCCGCTGGTGGCCAGCAGGCCTTTCTTACTGCACCAGCCACAGGTGATGACCTGAGGGGAGACGAGAAATCAGGAGCCAAACGGAGCCGGCCGCGGCCACAGGAGGAGAAGAAGAAGCCACCGACCCTGCTCTGGTGCGCCTCCAGCTTGATGAAGGAGCACTTCCGCAGATCCCCCGCCATGTCGGCGAAGGTCTGCGGCCGGCTCTGGCTGTTGTCGCGGTCGTGAGCGGCCAGCGTGCGGACCAGCTGCTGCGCGGCCCACTGGCGGTGCTGGGAGGACAGCCTGGAGGACAGGCAGCAGGCCGCCAGAGCGTTGGCCAGCTCCAGGGGGCCTACAGCGGAGGGATTATGGGAAGGATGGGCATATAAATGCGCGGTTAGACCTGCTCGACACGGAACAGAAGGTGAAGAAACCCGGTGGGTCGGGGAGGAACAACGGAGACCATGGAGCAAACAAACAGAGGAGGCTTTCTGAGCCAGAACCTGGAGGTTCCCGGCAGATTCTGGTCCGTCAGAACCAGAGAAACTACAAACCTCTCTTCTCCAGGTCGGCCTTGTCGTAGACGGGCCGCAGCCGGGCGCCTTTATCCGCCAGCAGCGCCACCAGCGCCTGCGTCACCACAAAGTTCGGGGAGGTGATGAGCTTGTTCTCCTCGGCCACGCCGCGCAGGAAGCTGGGCAGGAACTTCCTCTGGATGGGGTCGTCCACCGTGGTCAGGTTCATGCCTATCGCCGCAGAGATCAGGTTCTGGAACACAAACAGGAAACCGCCTGAAGCTGGAGGCAGAAGGTAATGGATGGGAAACGGCAGCAGAATGTGGATCAGGTGAAGCTGAAACTGCCACAGCTTGAGATTTACAGAACCGGCTTCATGTTTCATCTGCACTATGAACTGTGCATGTCGGTGTGGTTCTGTTTGGGTCGGTGTGGTTCTGTTTGGGTCGGTGTGGTTCTGTTTGGGTCGGTGTGGTTCTGTGTGGTTCTGTTTGGGTCTGTTTGGGTCGGTGTGGTTCTGTTTGGGTCGGTGTGGTTCTGTTTGGGTCTGTGTGGTTCTGTTTGGGTCTGTTTGGGTCGGTGTGGTTCTGTTTGGGTCGGTGTGGTTCTGTTTGGGTCTGTGTGGTTCTGTTTGGGTCTGTTTGGGTCGGTGTGGTTCTGTTTGGGTCTGTGTGGTTCTGTGTGGTTCTGTTTGGGTCTGTTTGGGTCGGTGTGGTTCTGTTTGGGTCTGTGTGGTTCTGTTTGGGTCTGTGTGGTTCTGTTTGGGTCTGTGTGGTTCTGTTTGGGTCGGTGTGGTTCTGTTTGGGTCTGTGTGGTTCTGTTTGGGTCTGTTTGGGTCGGTGTGGTTCTGTGTGGTTCTGTTTGGGTCTGTTTGGGTCGGTGTGGTTCTGTTTGGGTCGGTGTGGTTCTGTTTGGGTCTGTGTGGTTCTGTTTGGGTCTGTTTGGGTCGGTGTGGTTCTGTTTGGGTCGGTGTGGTTCTGTTTGGGTCTGTGTGGTTCTGTTTGGGTCTGTTTGGGTCGGTGTGGTTCTGTGTGGTTCTGTTTGGGTCTGTTTGGGTCGGTGTGGTTCTGTTTGGGTCTGTGTGGTTCTGTTTGGTCTGTTTGGGTCGGTGTGGTTCTGTGTGGTTCTGTTTGGGTCTGTTTGGGTCGGTGTGGTTCTGTTTGGGTCTGTGTGGTTCTGTTTGGGTCTGTTTGGGTCAGTGTGGTTCTGTGTGGTTCTGTTTGGGTCTGTTTGGGTCGGTGTGGTTCTGTTTGGGTCGGTGTGGTTCTGTTTGGGTCGGTGTGGTTCTGTTTGGGTCTGTTTGGGTCGGTGTGGTTCTGTTTGGGTCTGTGTGGTTCTGTTTGGGTCTGTTTGGGTCGGTGTGGTTCTGTTTGGGTCTGTGTGGTTCTGTGTGGTTCTGTTTGGGTCGGTGTGGTTCTGTGTGGTTCTGTTTGGGTCTGTGTGGTTCTGTGTGGTTCTGTTTGGGTCTGTTTGGGTCGGTGTGGTTCTGTTTGGGTCGGTGTGGTTCTGTGTGGTTCTGTTTGGGTCTGTTTGGGTCGGTGTGGTTCTGTTTGGGTCGACCGTTAGTGCCGAGACGCTATCATGTCGCTCCAGGATGAAGCATTACTGCTGACTCATCGTTTCATAAACCTCCAGAGAAGCACTGCTGTGTCTCATTGACCTTTGACCTGTATCTTCCCTGACCTCCTGTGACCTGCCGGTACCTGCGTGCAGAGCTGCACCAGCAGCTTGGCGGCATTGGGGCTGTTGGAGGCCAGGCAGCCCACCGCGGTGCTCAGGTAGGCCAGGCAGGAAATGGGCTTGCTGGCCTTGGCGGCGCCGCGGGGCCGCTCCGAGGGGCCCGCCCCCGCCGCCGGGCCGGTAGAGAGTCCGGCTCGGCCCGCCGCCGCCAGGCACATGAGGCGGACCAGCGTCCTGATGTCGGTCAGGCCCAGAGACTCCAGGCCCGCCGCCAGGCTGCAGCTGGAGCCGCTGGAACAGAGGAACACAGCCTGAGCTACAGAACCCGACCTCTGGCGACCCCTGCTGACCCCTGCTGACCCTCGGCTCACCTGACGGAGAGCAGCGACAGCGCCCTCATCACCATGGTGCGGGCCAGCAGCACCTGTGCTGCGGCCGTCACCCTCCTGAGCGCCATGACGCGGTCGTGTGGGTTCTGCAGGGCGGCGGCCTGTTCGCCAAGCGTCATGCGGCCCGACGAGCTTTTATCCACCGACGTCTGGCAGCCTGCAGACAAAACCACGCTGAGAACGGCGAAGCATCGGAACGGCGAAGCATCGGAACGGCGAAGTATCGGAACGGCGAAACATCGGAACGGCGAAGCATCGGAACGGCGAAGCATCGGAACAGCGAAACATCGGAACGGCGAAACATCGGAACGGCGAAGCATCGGAACGGCGAAGTATCGGAACGGCGAAACATCGGAACGGCGAAGCATCGGAACGGCGAAGCATCGGAACAGCGAAACATCGGAACGGCGAAACATCGGAACGGCGAAGCATCGGAACGGCGAAACATCGGAACGGCGAAACATCGGAACGGCGAAGCATCGGAACGGCGAAACATCGGAACGGCGAAGCATCGGAACGGCGAAACATCGGAACGGCGAAACATCGGAACGGCGAAACATCGGAACGGCGAAACATCGGAAAGGCGAAGCATCGGAACGGCGAAGCATCGGAAGAGGGAAACCGGCTGAAACCCGCTCAGATCGCCCGCGGTCGTTACCTATCTGCAGCAGCGTCTCCTCCATGCTGTTGGTGGCCGTCACCATGGCGACCGAGGCTCCCAGCGGGTCGCTGTCGGGGAACTGGACGGGTTCGGGGACGACGCGACGCTCGCTCAGGCCCAGCGGGCCAGACAGCAGCTCGAACTCTTCCTCTCCCGTCAGCTTCTCGTCTTCGTCCACGTCCAGCATGTCCCAGTCCTCTGCAGCGGGACAGAACCAAAACCAGGACCGGGTCAGACCGCCGCCGGACTCGCAAGGCGGGACGCGTCGCTGAGGCTCACCTTCGTACACGCTGTCCTGCTTCCCCAGCAGGTCCGGCGCCTGACCTCTGTACCTGAACGCAGAAACAACGAGGTCAACGTCCAGAACAGAACCAGGAACTAAGCTGCTAAGTTGATATCAGACCGGACCGGAACCAGGACCCAGACCAGGACCCAGGACCCAGACCAGGACCGGACCGGACCGGACCGAACTGGACCAGGACCCACACCAGGACCGGACCGGACCAGAACAGACCGGACCGGAACCAGGACCAGAACCCACACCAGGACCGGACCGGAACCAGGACCCAGACCAGGACCGGACCGGACCGGAAACAGAAACCACGACTGGACCAGGACCCAGGACCCAGAACCCGGACAGGACCAGACCGGACCCGGACCTGGACCCAGACCAGGACCGGATCTGACCCAGAACCCGGACCGGACCCAGGACCCGGACCCGGAGCCGATCGTATCCCTGATTCTGCAGAAGCAAAAATCCTGAAGGTGTTTAAATAATCACTGAAACTCAGGAAACAAAGATAAAAACAAGAAAAGAAGGACAAGCAGAAAAGAGAAAGAGTGAAAAAAGGCAAAAAAGAGACCAAGAGATAGACAGAAGGAAAGACAGACAACAGGTAAGGACAGGTAAGGACAAGTAAGGACAAGTAAGGACAGGTAAGGACAGGCCCCGCCCACAGGAAGCTGACCTCTCTGCGGAGGGGACTCTGGCTTTGCTCTTGATGGCCAGGTATTTGTCCCTGCAGCCGCCACACAGCAGGTAGTACGGGTTCCCGCTGCCGCACTCGCCGCCGAACCAGCCGTCCACGTAGGAGCCGTTGCTGCGGTAACCCTGTCGGTTGGCGCTGCGCCCGCAGCCGGGGTGATTCTTCTTCATGTGCTGGTTGAAGCTCGCCACGCTGGCCTCACACAGCTCACACACCACCACCTCGTCTCGGTCGTCGGCCTCACACACGTGCTGCGAGGGCGAAACGCAAACATCAAGGACACGCACACACACACAGAGACACACACACACACAGAGACACACACACACACACACACAGAGACAACACACACAGAGACACACACACACACACACAGAGACACACACACACACACAGACACACACACAGGCACACACACAGACACACACCGACACACACACACACACACCTACACACACACACAGAGAAACACACAGAGACACACACACACACAGAGACACACACAGGCACACACACACACAGAGACACACACACACAGAGACACACACACACAGAGACACACACACACAGAGACACACACACACACACACAGAGACACACCACACACACAGAGACACACACACACAGGCACACACACACACAGAGACACACACACACACACCGACACACACACACACACACAGAGACACACACAGGCACAAACACACACACCGACACACACACACACACCTACACACACACACAGACACACACCGACACACACACACACACCTACACACACACACACACCGACACACACACACACACCTACACACACACACACAGAGACACACACAGACACACACAGAGACACACACAGACACACACAGAGACACACAGAGACACACACAGGCACACACACACACACGCACACACCAACACACACACACCGACACACACACACAGAGACACACACACTCACACACACACACACACTCACACACACACACACACTCACACACACACACACACACACACACACACACACACACACACACACACACACACACACTCACGCGCGGCCTGTCTCAGAGGGAAATGGCCGCTCATGCAGAGTGGATCAATGGATGCCAGGCAGCAGCCAATCAGCAGCGAGTGTTCTGGAGGTTTGGCGTGCATGTGTGTGTTTAGGGAGGGAAGGGGAGGCAGCTCATTGGCTGGAGCAGAAAGTCACACACACCCATGTTGGCCAGTCCAGTACCTCCGGGATCCACATTCCAGAATGTCGGTGTCGCTGGCCAGGTCCTGGCCGAACATGGCCTCCATGGTCTCCTCGTCCAGGTCCATCTCCAGCTCCTCGTCCAGGTTGAAGTCGTACAGCGCGCCCGGGTCCTGCTGCTGCGGCGGCGCCGCGTCCCGCCGGGCCTGGCTGTGGTGGGCCTGGACCGAGCGGTACAGCCCGGCTGGGGACAGAGGGGAACAAGAGGGACAGGTGATTGGCTGGTCGGCGGCGCGAGGTCGGGGTGTGTTTGGCCTCCTCACCGGCGCGCGCCAGCAGCGTGCGTGCGGCCAGGTCGAAGCGGTGCTTCCTGCCGGCGGCGGAGCGTCCTCTGAGGGAGGTGCAGCTGGATACCGCTGCGCTGTCTTGCTCCGGACCTTCAGGGCTGCAGAATGACAGTAAGTTCAGGTCAAAGGTCAAACATCAACCTCCTCCTCTGAAACGGAGCTACCTGTCACCGAAGCCCTCCTCCAGCTCCGAGGCGTCGGCGCTGGCCACGTCTCCCGGACAGCAGAGGTACGGGCTCCGGTCCAGGGACTTGCCCCCCGAGGACGCCATCGCCCCCGGACAGGAGGCGGAGTCAGGAGCGTCGACAACCAGCGCGCCGCTCCTGCTGTGAGGCTCGTCGCGCTCGTCCTCCGTGCCGGGATGTTCGATCATCCACATGGCGAGCACTGTGATGTTCTGGGCGTCTGCTTCTCCCCGAGCGCCTGCGGTCAGAGCGGAGAGCGGTCAGAGGTCAGAAAGGAGAGCGGTCAGAGTGGAGAGCGGTCAGAGGTCAGACAGGAGAGCAATCAGAGGTCAGACAGGAGAGCGGTCAGAGGTCAGACAGGAGAGTGGTCAGAGTGGAGAGCGGTCAGAGGTCAGAGCAGGTCAGAGCAGGTCAGGCTGCCAGTCTTCAGGCTACCGGAGCGTTCAGCTAAAACACGGCACTCAACGCTCTGCTGATGGAGATCGGGCCGCATTCAGCTGCTAGTCTGACACAAGGCAGGAAAAAGATCAGCTTCACATGTCAGCATCGGCCAATCACCGTCTCCTACATTTCTGATACATTGTATAAAATAATGCAAACTGATCTCAGAGGACATGAGATCAGTAAAAGTTTGTGGAAAGGTGTGTCGGACTTTGACTGACCCGTTGCTTCCAGGGCCTTGGAGATCTGCCGCAGCGTGAAGCCCATCTCCAGCAGCGGCACGGCGATGGCCGGCGGCGGCGGCGACGTGGACAGCCTGCTGCTGGGGTCCGACAGCTGAGGGGAGACAACATGGCCGTCATTTCCTCTTCTGCGCACAGGCGGCGCCCGCCTCGGTCCACTCACATGTTCCGGCCCGGTTCTGCGGCCTGCAGGGCTGGGAGTCCGGCGAGGTGAGGCTCTGCCTGCGGCCCACCTCGTCTGACGGAGAGGTCGGCAGGACGACACTGGGGCGTCTGGGGCCCGGCGGGTCGGAACCAGGGTGGTGGTGGGGTAGCTGGAGAACATCTGCCTGTTGGGGCACAACATCCAGCAGGAGGTCAAGGTCATCACTCAGAGAGATAAGGGTTCTCCCCTGATGAAGGAGTGATGAAAACTCTGAACCTCAGTTTTCCTCTTTCTATTCGCAGAGAAACGAAACTAGTTTTCAGATTTTTACCTGATTTAATGTGAATCAGATCATTTGTAACATTCATCTCAACACTGAAAGCGAAACCCAGACGGAGCCTTTCATGCCGTCTGGTGACCCAACCTGACGCTAACGGGTGGCACCGAGGGTGGAGCTGACGCCTGGCGGCGAGGTCCCACCTGAGCAAGCTGAGCGGCATGACGCCCGGCTCGGAGGCGGGCACGGTCTCGGTGTCGGTGACGGGCGTGGTGGCGGTGGTGGTGTCCTCCAGGGAGGAGCTCATGAAGGAGGTGGTGCTGGACGCCGAGGGGCTGGTGGGTGATGGGCGTCTGAGCCAGCTGCTCGCCCTCGCCGCCCTCGCCTTCCCCTTCAGGCTCGCTCCTCACCCCTGAGACAGGAAACACAAACTGACTCAGAGTCTGTGCAGGAAGCTGAAGACATCGAGCATCAGACAAAACATGTAGAATTTATAACGGCAAACAACAGAGCCGAGGCAGGACGAGCTCCACTTCATCTGACCTTTTCACCCAGTATTGACCCTCAACCTTTTGATGAATATTTATTATGAATGAACAGATATTGAAGGAAATCTGATGGGTTCTGCTCTCACCCGGCCTGGACTTCCCGCCGCTGGGCTCATCCAGCAGCCCGTTCACCACCAGCTTGTAGATCATGGCCTGCGCTCTCTCCAGGTCCGCCAGGCCCAGCGCGCGTTTGATCGGGGAGCGCATCACGGCGCGCTTCACCATGTGGCGCATGAGGAACTGCAGCGCCGTCCGCATCTCCACCTCCTCCTGGAAGACGGGCGAGGGCGGAGCCGCGCCGCTGGCGGCGCTCAGGTCGGCGTTGTGGCCGCACGGCGCCGTCTCTGGGACCACCTGGATGTTTGAGAGAGTCGCTGGGTTAGCGCTGAACCCCTCAGCCGCTGCACCGACCAGAAGGGGGCGACAACCGCAGCTCTAAACAAACATTCAGTCCTTTCTGGCCAAGACGACACGAGAAATCACAAATTTTCTACAGTCAGTGAACGCACCACCCAAACATCAACAACATGGAATCAGGAAGCAGCTTAAGCATCAAGATAAGCTGTAGGAATCTTTAAGGAACGTAGTTAACAATGTAAATATCAAGGATTTTCCGATCCACTCTGATGAGATCTGAGGTTTCAGCCGATTCCACACAGAAAAACAGCCGACGGACTGAAAACGTTTCATAAATGAACTGAACTAAAATGTATTTCATAACTCCGCACCAGTAGAGCTCACTCTAAAAGACCAATCGCTTCCCAAGCAGGTCTAAACATCTAAACAGCTTTAATTTGTGCAGTCAGGTCAAATGAGGAAATCGTCCAATAAAAATACAGAATAAAACAACAGGCTGGTTATAAACATGTAAAATTAAACTGCAACACAATAAAACGTAAATAAAGCATGTGGAGCACCGAACCAGTCACATCGTCAACGACACACGACCTGGAATTGTTTTCAATCGAGCCGATACAGATATTGATATCGGATCAGTGAAACCCGGAAAATTATCAGGAACCAGAAGCAGAAGGAGTGATATCTAACAACAGATCTGTCTCCGCCCCCATGAAGCCCCGCCCTCACCTGACTCCGCCCCCATGTAGCCCCGCCCTCACCTGACTCCGCCCCCATGTAGCCCCGCCCTCATCTGACTCCGCCCCCATGTAGCCCCGCCCTCACCCGGCTCCCCCCTCTGCCTGCATGCTGCTAGCATTAGCATTAGCATGTGTACCTTGGGGATGAGCAGCAGCTCCGCGTACTTGCTGCAGCTCAGCAGGGCGCTCAGGGTCTTCATGGCGCCCAGGTAGAGGTAGGACAGCTGTACGGCGTGGATTTCTGACTGTGTGCTAATGGGCGGAGCCTCGTGGCGCCCGCCGTGCTCGTGGCCTTTCTTCCTGCCTGCCTCTGCGGTGGCGTTGGGCGCCGGGCCGAACAGAGCTTCGTTTCCGCTGGCGACAGATGAGATCTCGCTCTCGGACTTGGAGTTGGGCGCCAGGTGAGCCTTGACCTCCTCCAGGCTGTGGGACACCCTCAGCTCGGAGGCGGCGGCGTCCTTCTGGCCGTCCGGCCTGTCGTCGCCGCAGCTCGCCTCGTGGCCAACGGAGGCGGCGTTGCGGTGCTTCCTGTCGTGGCGGCGCCCGCCCAGCTTGGCGGCGTTCTCCTCGTGGATGCTGGTCAGGTAGGTGAGGTCCAGCAGCAGCGACGAGGTCAGGCCCCGGAACCGGCCCACGTCGAACGGCAGCGGCTCACACGGCTCCAGATTGTACAGCGGCGTGTCACTAGGCGACCAGAAAGTTGGGAAGCTTTAATGGGAGGAAGTGGAGTGAAGAGAGACAAGGAGAGGGAAACGGAGTGAAAGGAAAGAAAACGGGGAAAACTGATGGAAATGGAGGGAAATGGGGAGGCGGAGCCACGAGGAGGAGGAAACCAAAGACCCGGTTCCTGAACCGAGCGGGTTCCTGAACCGAGCGGGTTCCAGAACCGAGCGGGTTCCTGAACCGAGCGGGTTCCTGAACCGAGCGGGTTCCTGAACCGAGCGGGTTCCAGAACCGAGCGGGTTCCAGAACCGAGCGGGTTCCTGAACCGAGCGGGTTCCTGAACCGAGCGGGTTCCAGAACCGAGCGGGTTCCTGAACCGAGCGGGTTCCTGAACCGAGCGGGTTCCTGAACCGAGCGGGTTCCTGAATGACAGATTTATGAGGAAAAACGTTCCAGAAACAGAAAACATGGAGAGACGAGAAAGACGAGGAAAATGCCAATCAACTGGAGTTAGGATGATGATGATAAAAATAATGATTATTGATAAAGATAAAATGGTAAACATTAATAACGCTGCTCGGTTCCAGATGTGGCAACAGATGTTCGAATCATTCGCCAGAATGAATTAATGTAGTGAAATGAGCGATTGGGTCATACCCGGTCGGGTTCGGCGGTTCCGGTACCTGATGGTGATCTCTGCCTCGTCCCATTGGACCTTGGCCGAGCTGCTGCCCTCCTTGGCCACGCCCAGCAGCGTGGCGTGGCGTCCCGTCTGCTTGTGGACGCAGCGGCCGCCGACGCGCAGCCCGCCGTCCGCCCCGCCGATCACGGCCAGAACCGGCCACACGTCGCAGCACAGGCTGCGCAGGTGCGGCTCGGCCAGGTCCGCCAGGCCGTGCTGCCGGCCTTGCCGCCCCCGGTCCTCCTCCGCCCTTGGCGGAGCATCGGGGCTCTCCCTCTGGGCGTCGTGCTCCTCGCGACTCTGCACCGAGCGGCTCTTCTTCAGCCGCTGGCCGCCGGCCGGCCCCCCCGTGGCGGCGTCCCGGAAGCAGGGCTTGATCTTCTGCAGCCGCTGGATGATGGCGCTGTTGATGCGCGGCGTCCAGCGGTCGGTGCGGTGCAAGATGCGGACCAGCTGGGCCGTGGCCTCGACCAGCACCGTGGGCGTGGGGCTGCAGACGGGGTCGCCGGGCAGGAGGTCGCGTGGCGTCCCTCGCATCTGCATGTCGCAGATCTTCACCTGCAGAGGAAAAAGGAAGTGTGAGGGAGCCACTTCCTGCTGAATGTCTGGACTCTGAGCGGCGGCGGTTACCTTCTCTCCCGGGTTACTGCTGTAGAACATGACACAAGGAAACAACTCGGCTGCGTCAACATCCTCAAACGCCAACTTCGGCTCCTGGAGGGAGGAAAGAAACACAAAGAAAGGAAAAGAAGGTGAGAATCAAAGAAAGGAAATAGAATCAGAAAAGAGAAACGTGGATAAAGCAGAAGGAGGAATCAGAACGATGCAAACATCAACATCCAGAACAGAACTGAAGAACTTTCTGTCACATCCAGCAGCGGCTCTGTTTATCTGGGAAAGTCAGGTGGAAGGAAGAAAGTGAGTGTAGCTGTGACCTCTCCGTTCTTGCTGAAGGAGACGGTTCTGGCCTCCATGTCGAGGACGCAGGTGATGAAGTCTCCCTGCGTGAAGCTGCTGAGCGTCAGCGTCTGCTCTCCGTTGTGGTACAGGTTCCCGCTGTAGGCGCGGTACAGCCACATGTCCGACGTGGTGCGATGGTTGAAGTCGTGGACGGGCCAGCGGGACACGCCCACACACGTCCCCTCATTGCCGCGGTTCTCCTTCACGATGTAGAACTGCAGCAGGAAACAGCAGCGGTTAGCGGGCTTCCCCGGGGCTTCCCAGGGGATTCCTGTTTCAGGATCACCTTCCACTGGTAGCATCCGGAGGAGATGCCGGTGGACGCCAGGCCGTAACCTTTGCCCCCGCTGCCGTGCGTCAGGCCCTGGCCGTTCTCCACCACGCAGCACTGTGCCTTCTCCGGGTCGAAGGACACTTCCTGATGGGAAGGTTCTCGTCTTCCTCCTCCGCCTCGCCCTGCCGCAAACAGAGGTCAGCGTGCCGCGTCCGCCTGGGGCATCAGGGTCGCCGTGACAACGCCCTCACCTGCAGCTTCAGCTCCTGGAGCTTCTCCTTGATCTGGATGGAGTGTTTGGCCTGAGCGACCGGAGCTTCCCACATGCAGTCAGACAGCAGAGAGAAGAGACGGTCCACAACCTGAGGGACATCAGGACAGATAGAGAGACATCAGGACAGTTAGAGACATCAGGACAGATAGAGAGACATCAGGACAGATAGAGAGACATCAGGACAGATAGAGAGACATCAGGACAGATTGAGACATCAGGACAGATGGAGAGACATCAGGACAGATAGAGAGACATCAGGACAGATAGAGACATCAGGACAGATAGAGAGACATCAGGACAGTTAGAGACATCAGGACAGATAGAGACATCAGGACAGATAGAGACATCAGGACAGATAGAGACATCAGGACAGATAGAGAGACATACAAACAGAAAAAAAAAACAGAGAAAAGAGATTTAAAGACAAAACCAGAATGAAAAGAAAAACAAAAGAGCAACAACAGAAAGAAGCAAAGAGGCAGAACTGTAAAACTCATAGCTTCAGGAAATGCGGCTCCGCAGCGCCCCCTACCTGGGTCAGCTGGTCGTCCTCCATGTTGGCCTCGCAGGCCGGCAGGACGGCCTCCAGCACATGCAGGGCCAGCAGGCGGGTTTCATGTTCCCCACCAGAGGAACTCCTGCAACATTTAACATCTGTTACTGTCCCACCTGGCCCATCGACTACACTCACCTGCAACCTGCAGAGGGCGCACCTGAGCAGCACTTCTGAGCTGCGATGTTCAGCAGAACCTCGGTCCATTTGGGGGACGCCATCTTGGACTGGATGGCCTTGGAGGAGACCACCCTGCGGAGGAAGACCAGGAAGTCCCCGAGGTGGAGCTCTGCGGTGTGCTGCTTCCGGATTAAAGCTGAGCAACGAAAACCTCGAGCCATTACACGACCCACAGGAAAATCAACGACCTGGAGGCCATCTGCTCTCGTCCGACTGCAGGACTCAACCCGTAGCGGACCTTCAGGTTCTGACCATCTTCTACTGGCATTAGCGAATCATTTTTATCTCCCAATAAAAATTCAGAAGGATCAGCCGACTGAGTTTTCTTCATCTAAAAATGCAGGAGTGTGAATTTGTAATATTTGGTGACCTCGGCGTGATGATTAAAGGGCCAGTATCATGCAAGACTGACTTTTCTGAGCTTTCCATCATCGAGATGTTTTGTCGCTTTCATTCTTTCATGTTTAATAAGCCTTTAATCTCCATGGCAACCATTCAGCCGTGGCAAACGCCTGGGTGGAGCTAGCTCCGCCTTCACAGGACAGTTCCTCTCCACTCAGCTCCTTCAGACTAGCCAGTAGCAACTAGCAAACGCCTGGTGGAACTGCTGAGTTTCTTCTCAGAGCCTGTAAAAACATTGCTAAAGGCCTAATAGAGCAGCCATGTTGGGGTGACTTCCTGAAGGCGGAGTTTCAGAAAGAGCAGGAGCTTCTTAAAGACAGAGGCCCATTTTCAAGGGATTAAATTGCAAAGTCAAATTTCTTTTAAGACATATTTGACATAAAAGTCATTTTTATAACAACTCAAGTTAATTAAGTGACTTGACTGCTATAAAATGCATAGAAAATACATAACACTGTTCCTTTAAGGGAGCTGTTGAACAGATTAGGTTATTTAGTAGCAGCGTGTTTTAGGTCGTTTTTCTCCAGAGCAAAAGGTGAAATCAGACTTTTCCTTGTTTATTTAAGCCTTAAAAATAACTGGCACAGATGCCTAAGCAGTCCTTTAGCTTATTAGAGGCAATTGTTGGCTGCCAGGAAACCACCGAGATGACTTCAGATGACTGTAAACATGTAACCGCTTCTTTAGGTTTAACAAAACATCTAACATGTTTTGTTAAATTATTCATGTTAACAAAACATGAATAATTTAACATTATTCCTGACAAAAATAATGTTAAATGCATTTTAGCAGACCTTTGTGTATCGGTCAAATGTTGGTTGAATTATATCTGAACAAACCTGAGACTGGTTGTTTTACTAGAACCAGACGTGTAAAGGAAATAGATCCGGAAGGATTTCTGTGTCTGTGATTGTTTTGTGTTTTTTTACATATGAAAACTGAATTCAGAGGCAGACAGAGACGTGGATGTGTGTCAGGATTGGAGCTAGATGCTAAAGCTAACCTCTGAAGTCCTTCTTGTCAGAGTCGAGGGAGTCATCCATCTTGGAGTCGTCCGAGTCCTTCCCTGCCGCCAGCCGGCTGCCTCCTGCCTGGGCCAGCAAGTTCTTCAGCTGGCTGCACAGCAGGTCCAGCAGCGCCTGCACCACCTTGGGACTCAGCTTGTCGGCGTATGTCCTGCAGAGACAGACAGGCCGCTGGGTTAGAGGCGCTCTGGGCCCCGGAGGCACTGCGGCGGCGTTACCCGGTGCTGATGGCCAGGATCTGCAGCAGGCGGGTGGAGGCCACCTTCAGGGCGGTGCTAAGCTGCGACACACCCGGCTTCTGCAGCAGCTGCAGCGGCTGGCCCAGCATCGTCTCGGTGCCGCAGAGCTGCGACAGCACATTGAGGAGGCCGCTGGGAGATGGCCAGGGACACGTCCACAGGCTGGTAGCGCACGCTGAGGGCAAACACCGTCACCAGCAGGAGGCGCTGCTGGCTTCTGCAGAGGAGGAAGCAGAGGGTCAGACTGCGGCCTGGGCCACATAAAGCTGGGGCTTTTTAAAATAAATTTCTCTCATCTAAATCTTTAAGGAAAGTGTTCATACAGCACTGTGTTTAAACATCCCAAGCCCATAGGGGGCAACCTCTCTGACAGCAGCCATCTTTCCTCCTCTGCACTGCAATAGGCATCAATGTGATGTCATCGCTGCATTATCTGTTGCAGACTGTATTTACCTAAACCTCTGGCTTTTGGTGCAAACGCTACAAAGGAGAATTTGTAAATCCTCACGTTAATCAGAGGTTTTATTATCAGCATTGTTTTAGTGATATTAAACGGAGGCTATGTGTTGATGAAACGCTGTCAGATTTCTGGCTGTGTTGGAAAAGCAGGAGGCGTCGGTACCGATGTGGTGCTTGTTGGCCTGCAGGGCGCGCTCCAGAGTCACTGCCATCTGCTGATAGATCTTATGGACGGCCGTCTGGATCTCCACCTGCAGGCTCCGCTTGGCCGCTTTGATCCCATCCTGCAGCACAAACGTGCCTGTCAGAACCGGACCACGGAACCGGACCAGAACTCTCCCTCCTCCTCTTCCTCACCTGGTAGTGGTGCAGCTGCACGCTCTCCCTCTTTAGGCCGCCGCTGCCCACGGTACCAAGGCCGAAGCATCCGGCCAGGAACTGGAGCCGGACCGAGGTGAGCAGGGAGGAAGACTGGAAGGCACCGCCCGGCCGCTCGGCGCCGCCCTGCTGGCTGCCCTTCTCTTCCATGCCTGAGATCAGCACCACGATCTGGTGCAGCGCCTCCAACCGCAGCTGCAACCACAGTCACACCATGAAGCAGAAACTGGAACTTTAAACCATTTAAAACCGGACAGAGGAACAAGCAGCCTGGATGCAGCACTTCCTGATCAGCATCGCTTCATTACCTGATGTTAAAGAAGCAAACAGTGAAACCTTAAATATAAACCAGCAACTTACTGTTTTCTGCTTTAATGAGTTTCACATGAAGAAAGGTTCTGTATCGTCTTAATGTCAGAAGCATTTATAAATAAATTAATAACAAAATAAAAATGTATTATGAAATGGAAAAAGTAAAAAGCAAATAAAATTACAACAAAAATATTACAAGAATAAAAACTTTTAAAATAAAATCAAAATAAAGTGTGAAGTAATATTTTTAGTTTGTCCTCGTTTTTTAAATAGTCAATAAATGCATAAGTTGTCATTTTAAAAAACGTTTATAGTTATAGATGAATTTTTATTCTGTTTTTAATAGAATGAAAAATATCTTAATTTATTTAATTTCTTTTAATTCAGAAATTTTTAAAAAGTAGAATCATAGTACAATACAAAACATATTTTATACAAAAAAAACTAAATATTTCTATATTTGTTTTATTTAATTAAGACATTTTAAAGTAGTAAATAAATAGCATATTTTTAAATTAAAAGGACTTAAAGTCTGGGTCACTGTCGTCCTTTCTGTTGGTTTGAACCGTTTTGTTCGTTTGTTGCTTTATGGATAAAGTTGCGTCTCCGCCGCCTCACCTCAGCCCTGCTCTGCTGCTGCTCCATGGCCAAGATGGCGGCCTGCGGGTTGGTGGACATGCCCTCGTCGGGCTCCTTGAAGGCGGGCGCCAGGCCCACGTCGCCGCTGATGAAGCTCACCATGTTGTCGATGAGGGCGTGGACGCCCAGCGAGCGGCTCAGGTCCAGGTCCGACTCCCCGTAGAAGTGGGCCGAGCCGTAGCTGCGCTGCCGGCTGAGCTTGGACCGGAACCAGGACTCCGCCAGCGAGTCAGGGGAGCTGTGGAGCATTCCTGGAAGGAAGAGGAGGAGACGATGAAGAACCAGAGCATCACTCCACGGATGGGTCGGGTCGGGGGGGACAGGTGAACCATGACAACAAGCAGCCTCTTCTCCTCTCCGTCTCCACATCAGTACCTCTCTTCTTCTGGGAGGAGGCCAGGTCCAGATCCACGTTCCTGCGCCCGCTCTGCAGCAGAAAACACACACAGCTTTCAGCTCAGGATCCACGGGGACACCAGGACCCAGGGAGCCTGGGGGCGGAGCTTCGTTACCAGGCTGTAGCTCTCCTCGTCGGACTCGGGTTGGACAGTCCGACTCGCTGCGGACTTGATGAGCCGGTAGCTGGGGCTGCCCTGCACCGAGCGGCTCTCTGCACTCAGACTCTCACTCCTGGAAACAGAATTATTCCCTCTATTTATTACAAAGAAATGAGTTGTCATATAATTACACATATCTTTAGATGTATTTATTTTACAAAAACTATTAAAATGTATAAAAATGTACATTATTTAATTACATTTGAAGGTGCATTTATTACTTCTTGATATATCTTATTTAATCCATGTCATTAAATAAAAGATATATCATGAAATGAATTAATCATTAAATAATTTATATCATGATATGTATATATTATCTATATAATTTTGTCCCCTTTGGCCCTCCATATGACTGTATGGAGGGCCATGTGACTCAAGAATTATTCACTATGACTCTGAAAATCATTTGTCGACCTCTGCATGGTGTCTTGCGACCCCCTGTGGGTCCCGCCCCCCCTTTGGGGACCCCTGCCTTAGCCAGTCACATTCTGGGAATTTTAGCTTTTCTGCTGCACTTACAGTTCTGGAGTTCTGCAGGGTTCTGTGCTTGAAACCAACAACTTTTCACTTAAATGTGCACCAGAAAGTTAATTTACCGCATGCATCACCTGGCTCCCCCCCCCACTGTACCTGGTCATGAAGCTCAGACAGTCCTGTGTTCCGGCGGCGACTGGATCGGGCCGTCCTCCGGGTTCTGCTTGCCCAGCTCTCCCAGAACCGGGCTGACCCCCAGCAGCAGCAGGGCGCAGCGGTGGATGACCGAGTTGCAGGCGGCCGTGTACAGGTCCTGGCCCTCCGGGATCCCCGCGCTGCCCCGCCGCTCCTCCTGCGACTGCGCCGCCTCCTCCTCCCCGGATCCCGGCGCTGCGCTGCGGGACGTCGACCCAGAGCCCGGGCCCGTCCCGCTGCTGGCCCGCTCCCGATCCCGGCTCCGAGCCACCTCCCGCGCTGAGAGGAAACATTGAAAGATTTCTGCGTTGTGCATCGAGCACAAACACACACACACACACAACACACACACACGGATGCAGGGTTAGAGTGTGAGCAGCTGGAGACTTCAGCAGTTACGACAAAAAGCTGCAGAGCGTCTCAGAAACGGTTTAAACATTTATTGTGGAGACGCACCGTCCACTGGTTTCACTCCTGATACCGATATCTGAGGTCTAGAACAGATACCGATCATCCGCCGATACCAAAAACAGCTGGACTGAGTTAAAACATTTTATTTTATTTAACACATACATGTACAGAATAATAAATGTATTTGCTAACTCTTCACCAGTACAGCTCTGGTTATAAATCCATTTATTACTTCATTAAACAGTGAAACAACCTTAATCTGTTCCGTCGGTGCAGTTTGCAGCCGAACTGCAACAAACCTTCTGTCACATGAAAGTTAATTCATCAATAATAAATGGATCCAACACGATTTCACCGATACCAATCCAGAATTCCTCTACACGTTTTATTGTTATTTTGGTTTCTTTTGAAATATTGTTAATCTACCAAAATAAGTGAAATGTTTCCTCGTTGGATCGATCGGCGATTCATCGGTGATCAGTCACTGTCTCCTGTGGGTGTTGAAGCGTCGCTACTGGTAGAAATATGTCAGACTGCTTAACCTCCACCAGACAGGGAACGCTCACACCGAGCAGCTGCTTCCAGCTGCTGCTTCCAGTTGCTTACAGCTGCTTCTTCCAGCTGCTGTTTCCAGTTGTTGCTTACAGCTGCTGCTTCCAGCTGCTTCCAGTTGCTGCTTCCAGCTGCTTCCTGCTGCTTCCAGCTGCTGCTTCCACTGCTTCCAGTGCTTACAGCTGCTTCTTCCAGCTGCTGTTTCCAGTTGTTGCTTACAGCTGCTACAGCTTTCCAGTTGCTGCTTCAGCTGCTTCTTCCAGTTGCTGCTTCCAGCTGCTTCCAGTTGCTGCTTCCAGCTGCTTCCAGTTGCTGCTTACAGCTGCTTCCAGTTTGCTGCTTCCAGCTGCTTCCAGTTGCTGCTTACAGCTGCTGCTGCTTCCAGTTGCTGCTTCCAGCTGCTTCCAGTGCTTCCAGCTGCTTCCAGTTGCTGCTTCCAGCTGCTACAGCTTCCAGTTGCTGCTTCCAGCTGCTACAGCTGCTTCCAGTTGCTGCTTCCAGCTGCTACAGCTGCTTCCAGTTGCTGCTTCCAGCTGCTACAGCTGCTTCCAGTTGCTGCTTCCAGTGCTGCTTCCAGTTGCTGCTTCCAGCTGCTGCTTCCAGCTGCTGCTTCCAGCTGCTGCTTCCAGTTGCTGCTTCCAGTTGCTGCTTCCAGTTGCTTACCAGTGCTGCTTCCAGCTGCTGCTTCCAGTTGCTGTTTCCAGCTGGTTCTTCCAGCTTGCTTCTTCCAGCTGCTGCTGCTGCTCCAGCTGCTGCTTCCAGCTGCTGCTTCCAGCTGCTGCTTCCAGTTGCTTCCAGCTGCTGCTTCCAGCTGCTGCTTCCAGTTGCTTCCAGCTGCTGTTTCCAGCTGGTTCTTCCAGCTGCTTCCAGGTGCTGCTTCCAGTTGCTTCCAGTTGCTTCCAGCTGCTGTTTCCAGCTGGTTCTTCCAGCTGCTTCCAGCTGCTGCTTCCAGTTGCTTCCAGTTGCTGTTTCCAGCTGGTTCTTCCAGCTGCTTCCAGGTGCTGCTTCCAGTTGCTTCCAGTTGCTTACAGCTGCTTCTTCCAGCTGCTGTTTCCAGCTGCTGCTTCCAGCTGCTTCTTCCAGTTGCTTCCAGCTGCTGTTTCCAGCTGCTGCTTCCAGTTGCTGCTTCCAGCTGCTTCCAGTTGCTTCCAGCTGCTGTTTCCAGCTGCTGCTTCCAGTTGCTGCTTCCAGCTGCTTCCAGTTGCTTCCAGCTGCTTCTTCCAGCTGCTGTTTCCAGCTGCTGTTTCCAGCTGCTGCTTCCAGCTGCTGCTTCCAGCTGCTTCCAGCTGCAGCAGGGAAAAAATACATCTGTACTCAAATTTGTCTAAACCAGGTGAATTTATGCCAGACAATTTTTCCATTTTGCCAGATAACATGGAATCATTTATACGTAAAGCGAAAGCGATGACCAGAAATTGGTGATCGGCCTCATGGATGATCGGAAGCAACAACCTGACCCTCCGGAGCGTCTCTGATACAGACACTAATATTGGATCGGAGCATCTCCAACTTGGAAACACTGAAAAGTTTTGATCCAGACCGAAAATCTGACCATCCTCATCCCAACAGACAGATTCTGCTTCCTGGTACCAGAACAGGAAGAAGTGATGAACCAGCATGTTGGACCAGATCAGGTCCAGATCTGGATCAGAACCTTTCTGGACAGGAAGCGGGCGGACTCCAGGGCCGTACTTACTTCCTGCGGTCATGACTTCGTGCTCCCGGTCCTCTTCCTCCTCGTCCTGATCCTGGTGCCCGTCTTCCCTCTCGCGGTCGGCCCGCTCCTCCAGCTCCGCCTCCTCGTCGATGGTGCGGGTGAACGAGTTCTCCTGGGGGTCCATGTCCAGCGAGTCCTGGTTGTCCGAGATCTGCACCACAATGTCAGACTGCTTTTATTTTGGAATCCATCATCGACTTCCTGTCAGACAGCGCCCCCCAAAGGAGGAACTTGGCCAGCATGGAAATCTGTTTCAGATCAGATTTGGATTCAAAGCTTCAACTTGCAGCTATGATTATTATGAAATGATGTGAAATCTAAATATTTAAAGATGAGCAAAACTAACAGCTGATCTCAAGAATAAATATGAGAACAAAATCATGATACTAAAGTCGAAATATGACAAGAACAAAGTGTTAACATGATGAAAATAAAGTTGTACTAATATGAGAATAAAGTATCAATAATAAGAGAATTTATAAAAAATAATACATGTCAAAATAATGCAGCAGTAAAGAAGCAGCTTGTAAATAAAACGTCTCATTCTCAGAGAACTGGGAGAGAACTGGGAGAGAACAGGGAGAGAACTGGGAAAGAACTGGTAGAGAACAGGGAGAGAACTGGGAGAGAATTGGGAGAGAACTGGTAGTGAACTGGTAGTGAACAGGGAGAGAACTGGTAGTGAACTGGTAGTGAACAGGGAGAGAACTGGTAGTGAACTGGGAGAGAACTGGTAGTGAACTGGGAGAGAACTGGGAGAGAACTGGGAGTGAACAGGGAGAGAACTGGGAGAGAATTGGGAGAGAATTGGGAGAACTGGGAGAGAACTGGGAGTGAACAGGGAGAGAACTGGGAGAGAATTGGGAGAGAACTGGTAGTGAACAGGGAGAGAACTGGTAGTGAACTGGGAGAGAACTGGGAGTGAACTGGGAGAGAATTGGGAGAACTGGGAGTGAACAGGGAGAGAACTGGGAGAGAATTGGGAGAGAACTGGGAGTGAACAGGGAGAGAACTGGGAGAGAATTGGGAGAGAACTGGGAGTGAACAGGGAGAGAACTGGGAGAGAACTGGGAGAGAATTGGGAGAGAACTGGGAGAGAACTGGTAGTGAACTGGTAGTGAACTGGTAGTGAACAGGGAGAGAACTGGTAGTGAACTGGGAGAGAACTGGTAGTGAACTGGTAGTGAACTGGTAGTGAACTGGGAGAGAACTGGTAGTGAACTGGGAGAGAACTGGGAGTGAACTGGGAGAGAATTGGGAGAGAACTGGGAGTGAACAGGGAGAGAACTGGGAGAGAATTGGGAGAGAACTGGTAGTGAACTGGTAGTGAACTGGGAGAGAACTGGGAGAGAATTGGGAGAGAACTGGGAGTGAACAGGGAGAGAACTGGGAGAGAACTGGTAGTGAACTGGTAGTGAACTGGTAGTGAACAGGGAGAGAACTGGTAGTGAACTGGGAGAGAACTGGTAGTGAACTGGTAGTGAACAGGGAGAGAACTGGTAGTGAACTGGTAGTGAACTGGTAGTGAACTGGGAGAGAACTGTTAGTGAACTGGTAGTGAACAGGGAGAGAACTGGTAGTGAACTGGGAGAGAACTGGTAGTGAACTGGGAGAGAACTGGTAGTGAACTGGTAGTGAACTGGGAGAGAACTGGTAGTGAACTGGTAGTGAACAGGGAGAGAACTGGTAGTGAACTGGTAGTGAACTGGTAGTGAACTGGGAGAGAACTGTTAGTGAACTGGTAGTGAACTGGTAGTGAACAGGGAGAGAACTGGTAGTGAACTGGGAGAGAACTGGTAGTGAACAGGGAGAGAACTGGGAGAGAACTGGGAGAGAACTGGGAGAGAACTGGGAGAGAACTGGTAGTGAACTGGGAGTGAACTGGGAGTGAACTGGGAGAGAACTGGTAGTGAACTGGGAGAGAACTGGGAGAGAACTGGTAGTGAACAGGGAGAGAACTGGGAGAGAACTGGTAGTGAACTGGGAGAGAACTGGGAGAGAACTGGGAGAGAACTGGGAGAGAACTGGGAGAGAACTGGTAGTGAACTGGGAGTGAACTGGGAGTGAACTGGGAGAGAACTGGTAGTGAACTGGGAGAGAACTGGGAGAGAACTGGTAGTGAACAGGGAGAGAACTGGGAGAGAACTGGTAGTGAACTGGGAGAGAACTGGGAGAGAACTGGGAGTGAACTGGGAGAGAACTGGGAGAGAACTGGGAGAGAACTGGGAGAGAACTGGGAGAGAACTGGTAGTGAACTGGGAGAGAACTGGTAGTGAACTGGGAGTGAACTGGGAGAGAACTGGTAGTGAACTGGGAGAACTGGGAGAGAACTGGGAGTGAACTGGGACCGACCCGCCTCTCTCGGGATGAAGACCGGGTTTGGATGAAGTCCAGGTTCTTGCAGGCCAGCAGTCGGTTCCGGACCTTGTAGACGCTGCGGTAGACTTCGGCCAGAGACTTGGACGGCTGGTACCTGCTGGGAAGGGAGAGTCAGCGGTGGAGGACAGGAGAGCGGGGTGAAAGGTCAGGGGTCAGCTCACCTGCCCTCGCCGCAGGCGGGGCCCAGCAGGCCGCTGTGCTTCAGCAGCGCGGCCAGGCAGAACCTGGACACGGTGTCCAGCAGGGACTCGTTGTTCAGAGACGCGTTGTCCCAGTCTGCAACAGGAGAGATGGCAGTCAGGCCCGGTTCTGGTTCTGCTCTGGTTCAGGTTGTGGGTCAGACCTTTGCTGATGGCGTAGTCCTGCATGTTGATCCAGAGGCTGTTGGCGGGTTCTTTGGAGGAGCCCAGCGCCAGGTCCAGCAGGACGCTGAGGTCCGGGCGCAGCGGCCGGTCCAGAGGCTTCTGCTCCTCGTTCCCGGACAGCGCCGCCTCCAGCAGCGAGCTGATGACCCAGTCTGCATGGAGAGCGCAGTCAGAACCACACAGAACCACACAGAACCGCTGGTGGGCCGGCCGGTACCGAGCTGCGGGATGTCAGTCTCCAGGCCGTTGCTGAACAGCGGCGTTTTCAGCCAGTAGGCGGCGTGGTTCTCCTCCGGCGAGGCGGCGGCACCCTGCAGCATCCCGCCCAGGCAGCAGCCCACCAGCAGCGCCGCGGTCCGCTCCAGGTCCACCAGCCACACCCAGCACAGCGCCGCCGCCGGGAGCGCCGGGCCCGATGTCGGCTCGGCCAGGTCCGAAGCACCTGGAGGGGTGGGAAGGATCCAGTTACCGACCCTGGCCAGACCCAGGAGGTTCTGGTTCTGACCCGATGGGTCACGACAAACAATCCACTGGCAGCCCCACAGCATGATGCTGCTCCCACCGTGCTTCACAGCAGGCGGCGCGTCCGCATCCACTAACAGCTGGTTTCAGCTCAGAGTTTGGACTTGATTTTTTTTTTTATTTGGCGCTTTATCTTTAAATTCACCTGAGAGTTCAGAGCGCAGACAGAACTCGGTGTGTTCGGGTGAATTTCCCAAAATAACATTTTACATATTTTCTAGAATAAATCTTGGAAAGATTTTTCAATTTTGGAATTTATCAGTTTCAAAAGTCAAATTTTGTTTTACTTTTCAAGCTGAGAAACTTTCCATGTTTTTTCTTGAAAATTTCTGAGATTCATTTTAAAATTCAGACATGGTTGGTGGAATTTTGTTTCTTTCTGCAATGGCTGTAATTCAGACCGCAAATATTTTACGTAGGGGTGCACCGATTTATCAACGCCAATTTCCTTAATTTTGCGAGATCAGTGATCAGCGGCTAGTTTAACGTGACGCCGATCCGATCTACGTCAGCAAAGGTCTGAAAAGGTTTGCCTGTTAGCCACCAGGTCATGTCTGCATGGTCGCCAACTCGCCGTCTTCCTTGCTATATTTAGCAACATTTCAGACAAAAAATATTGGAATCAGCAGGTTAGTGTTTAAAGATTGGTAATTGGCGACCAGCCAGAAAACTGCAATCGGTGCATCCCTAGGTTTATGCCAGAATTCTCTTTTTTGTTTGTTTTCCTCAATTAGCTGCAGGGCCATATTTCCTGTGGTCTGAGCGTTTCCTGACCGTGCAGCGGCCACTGCAGCTCCTGGTCCTCCAGCGGCGCAGCGGCCGGCAGCAGCCTGTTGAGGCGGTCCAGAGGGGGCAGCAGGTCCAGCAGGTGGCTCAGCAGCGGCCTCACCACCGCCACTGGCAGCAGCAGCAGCGAGTTGACAATCTGACACAGCATGCTGCCAGCTGCCGACACGTAGATCACATCTGGAGAGTAGAGGGGGTGAGGGGTCAGTGACATCTGTGCTGAGGGGTCGGCGGGGCCGAGGCGGCGGCGGGGCCGAGGCGGCGGCGCTCACCCTGCAGCTTCTCCCGGATGCTCCCGTTCCCGGAGCTGTCCTGGATCAGCGCGGCAGAGCGGGAGAAAATGTCGGTGGCGTGGGGCAGCAGCAGCTGCAGGTGCTTGTGGAGCAGCGCCACGCTGCTGGAGTTCTGCAGGAGACACGCAGCGAGTCAGACTGGTCCGGCTTATCGGGCCCGGCCCGACCGGCGGTGGAGTTACCTCGGTGACGGCGTTGATGTGGCAGTAGGCCAGCAACTGCTTCTGCAGGGAGCACAGCAGCTGGTGCAGGTGAGCCGGCTGGCTGCTATCCGACGACGAGGTGCGCTGCTGCAGCTTGTCGCTGTTCTTCTCCAGTTCGCCCAGCGCTTGATCCTGCACAGAACGGAGAACAGAACCACTGTGACCCAATGGGCTCCGCTTTCCTCACTGCACAGCCAGCGGGGCGGCCTGCCTGGCGCCTGCTGCGTGTTGGCTGAGGAACTCAGAGATAAATGCAACGTTCTGCAGGGACAGAGAGACTCCACGTTGGAACAGAAAAACATACCGGGTCCGGATTTTAGAACTCAAAATGTACCAGACCAGCTTTGTATCCACAGAGGTACAGAACCCGGATCTCTGTGCTACACTACATGTGAACAAACGTCTACATGTTTGTTCACTAACATGTAGACAAACATTTACAATTAGCAGACATTTACTCATTTCTCTGGAAGGTTGAAATTTCTGCAGTTTACCTACAAAATCACCTCCACTTATTAGAAGCAAAAAAGGTTTTATCTGTTTTTTGAATTTATCACCACATGAAACTTCTAAAAGGTATTCTAGAACATCGCTGTTGATGCCGTCATTTTCCTCATTAAACGGCAACAAACTGTTTGTAAAGATGCAATTTAGTTTTAGAAAAGTCAGTGAGGATAGAAGTGAGCAGGAAGCCGAGATCTGATGAAGTTTCTGCTAAAAAAAACAAAATATTTACATTTTCTCTAGAAGGCGACATCAGATGATTCCGATTCAAAGAGAAAATGAAAAACTGACATGCAGAAAAGGATTTGCAGTGTAGAGCTGAATAATGTCTCAGATCAGTCAATGAAACGTTCTCCTGATAGAGGAACAGGAAGCGATCGACTCTGCCAGGAAACCTTCAGTGGGAGGAAATGGTGGTTTGCGGCTCTCTACAGGATCAATAACGAGGATGGACTCACCGTGTAAAAGCCCAGGTTTCTGAGCAGCGTCTTCATCAGGATCTCAGCTAAGTGCGTGTCAGGGTGGGAGCCGACGGCGTCGTAGCCGGCGTCCGGTGCGAAGGCGGACCGGGGGCCGCAGCGTCGGGGCCGTCAGCCGGAGCGCTGTAGCCCAGCAGCGAGGCCACATGGGTGTGATCCTGCAGGCTGGTCAGGATGATGTCCAGCTGCATCCTCTGAGGAACAAAACCGCTTTATTTCACTTCCTTTCAGATTAATAAAAGCAGCAGGTGGGGGTGGGGCGTACCTGTCCTTTGGAGAGACTCTCCCATCTGTCTGGTCCCTGAGGCAGCAGGGAGTGGAGCAGCTCCATCCTCTCCCTCAGAGGAGGCAGCAGCATGGTGGCGCCCACCGACAGAGTCTCGATCACCGCCTGGGGAAAACAGAGCAGGTTACCGTAAACCAGGCCAGGTTAATGTAAACCAGACCAAGTTACCGCAAACCAGGTCAAGTTAACGTAAACCAGACCAGCTTACCGTAAACCAGACCAGGTTAAACTGGTTTAATCTAACTGGCAGATTAAGGACTAACTTCTTGTTTTCTGTCTCTCGCTGTGAGACTCGTCTGTTATCCGCCTGCTCAGTGTTACTTTGAGGTTAAACCGATTTTAAGTTAACCGGCTCCATGGTCACCACTGACCTCCTGGATCTCGTCCGGCACCGAGGCGTCCATCAACCTGAACAGCAGGTTCCTGAGCGGCCGGGCCTGCCGACCCAGAATACTGGTGGCCACGCCCCCGGCCAGGGCCAGAGCCAGGTGATTGGATAAGAGGCGAAGGCACAGCTTGAGGAAGTTATGGTGCTCCCTGTAAACATGGAGAAACGTTCACTCTGCTTCTGCCCGCAGCGTCTGGACCCAGGCGGTCCGAGCGGCTCACCTGGACGAGGGGAAGGGCAGCGGAGGAACGTCGCTGTTGATGCCGTCGCAGTAGCGCTCCAGGAAGGAGCGCAGGTGGGAGAAGGTGCTTTCCTCCAGGTCGACGCAGTACGGTCGGTGCCAGGCCACCACCTGCCTGCAGAGACACGGAGAGGAAGCAGCGGATCAGCTGAGGCGTCGTCTGTTAGCATTAGCCGAGCCTGGCTAGCGGTCAGTCAGGCTGCATGTCTGGATGTGTTACATGTTTAATGAGTCAATATCTGGGATCGTCCTCTCGGCTCCAACATGCACATCAGTGGCTCTGGCTGAAGTCACAATGGTAACAGGGCCGCCACAGTAACCATGACCGTGGGAGGGAGGGAGGGAGGGAGGGAGGAAGGAAGGAAGGGAGGAAGGAAGGGAGGAAGGAAGGAAGGAAGGAAGGAAGGAAGGAAGGGAGGAAGAAAGAAAGAAAGGAAGGAAGGAAGAAAGGAAGAAAGAAAGGAAGGAAGGACAGAAGGAAGGAAGGACAGAAGTAAGGAAGGAAAGAAGAAAGGAAGGAAGGAAGGAGGGAAGGAAGAAAGGAAGGAAGGAAGAAAGGAAAGAAGAAATGAAGGAAGGGAGGAAGGAAGGAAGGAAGAAAGAAACGAAAGAAGAAATGAAGGAAGGAAGGAGGGAAGGGAGAAAGGAAGGAAGGAAGGAAGGAAGAAAGGAAGGATTAAAACCTACAGCTCTGAACCCGATGATCACCTGTCCAGCAGGTAACCAGGTGCTGCTCAGCTATTGGTTGGTGTGTGATGACATCATCAGCCTGCCCAGCCATTGGTCAGTGTGCTGTGACGTCATGGCTCACCTGTCTCTGGGCAGAGCAGTCCAGGCCAGGCTGTGGGACGTCCCGGCTGAGATCTGCTGGATGGCGACCCCGTCCAGGCCGACCACCTTCTTGGGTTTGGTGATGGGGCCGGTGGAGTTGCCCTGGCCACATTGCCCCATGGAGTTGTTGCCCCAGGCGTACACCTCGTTGTCTAGGCAACCGCCAGAGTAAAAAGGGCAGAAAGAGTTAACGCGAACCAGGACTCAGAGTTCAGTTTGCTGTTACATCAGATCTCAAACAGTCAGCATTTAACCAGAGAGTCAACAACAGGAGCTGAGCAGCACCGACCCGGCCCGGCCCGGCCTGACCCGGTCCAACCCACACAGAGCAGAGATAAGCGACGTACCGTGGGACAGGGCCAGGCAGTGGCTGTCCCCGATGGACACGTCCACCACCCTGGTGGTGGCCAGCTCCTCGATCAGTTTGGGCCGCAGCGCCGTGGCCTCAGAGGAGCCGCAGCCCAGGCAGGCGCCGCAGCCCCAGGCGAACACCTGGACACACGCAGGAGCAGCAAAACGGGTCAGAACCACCCGGAAACCAACGTCCCAACAGACTGAAATGATTCAGCAAACACTGATTTCTGCTTCAGCTTTAAACTTTCTGATATGTTTTTGTCCAGTCAGAAGAAAAGAATCGACTTCAGGACTTCAGTTTCCAATAAACTCGTTTATTTCACTTCAAAATCTGATTTCTAGGAAGAAACAGGAGTCAGGAAATGATGTAGAATGTCTAAAACACCAGAATCAGGAGCAAAAACTAGGAAAAGGTCAAAATAAACTAGTCCGCTATGAAGATAGCTTTAAATCAGAGGCCAAAGGTCAAAGACTCATACTGGTTGCATTTTGAAAGCGGTCAGCTGTTTTTGTGCAGCTCCTGCCGACGTCTGATTGGCTGACAGTTCGTAACTTCCGAGTCGTGTAAAGAGAGGGACGTCTCCTGAGGGACCGTCCCAGACGTCCTACCTGTCCAGTGGAGGTCAGAGCCAGTGACGACTGGCTGCCTGCGCACACTTTCCTGATGAACATGCCCTGCAGCGCCTCCACCACTTTGGGCTTGTAGACTCTGTTGGTGTCGCCGTGCCCCAGTTTTCCTGCAGGAGGACAAACAGAAAAAGTAGATCAGCACCAGAAACAGCCAGAGAAACCCGACACCCGTTTGGGTTTCTCACCGTTGTCTCCTCCTCCAAACGACCAGACGGTGCGGCCATCTTTGGACAGGGCGATGGTGTGGGAGCTCCCGCAGGAAACCTCGCCAACGTTGCTGATGTCTTTCACCAGAGTGGGAATGTTGCGGCTGTTGCTGTCCCCGTGTCCTGCATGAGGACAGGACGGCAGACCCAACGCAAGGATGAAAACTCACAAAGAAAACACTTTTCTCTTCCACACCAATAAACTCTGGTGTGATTTTTATCTGTCATGTTTATGTCAGCAGCAGAACATGTGACCCATTCACAGCAAGATTGGCAACAAAAACAGCAAAACACGGATACTAATAATCAAACAAGGACAAAGAAAAGTTTCTATTTTTGAAGTTTTTTTAGAAACAGAGAGCAAAGCCAGATCAGATACTGGAACATCAACTCACCTAATCTTCCAAAGTCTCCTTCCCCCCAGGTGTAGAGCTCTCCGTCCTCACTGACGGCAGCGCTGTGTCTGTAGCCGGCAGACACACACACGACCACCTGACACACACACACACACACATATACACACACACACACACATAAATACATACACACACACACACAAATACACACACACACACATAAATACACACACATACACACACACATACACACACACACATAAATACATACACACACACACACACACATAAATACATACACACACACACACACACAC